TTACGGTGGAATGAGTATAAATCATCTGAAGCAGTTTCGTAATTATTATCTTGGACGGCCTTAATGGCTGTTTTTCTTTTACCAGTACCACTCATATAGATCCGTAAATATGTCTTTTTTTCCATATGATAACCCCGAAAAGGGAAAGCTTTAATATGCTCAATTTTTTGAGTTTCCACCTCCTCAGAGAGAATATCCCTTACTTTCATTTCGCATTCATCCGGAGTCTCTTCGTCTGGAACAAGAACGTCAAAGAAAACCCGAATTCCCAAAAGGGTTACTATCGCTTTTTGGCCATTAATGAGAGAATCGTAGAGCCATAATACATAGCAATACTTTCCATTTATTTTTTGGCTGGATCCTTCATTATCAGTGGCCATGAATGGTATTTCTTGGCAATTGAATAGAGCGTTTTCAAGGATTGTGGTTAATCCCTCATCATTTTCCGCAACTATATTATCTCGAGTTAGAATGCCCGACAAGTATTTTTCACCAGAATAGCGAATTACTTGGCCTTCTGTTTTATCTTTTTCAGCCTCTGGGTGAAAAAGTGGGGCGGAGGGCGCGTCGAAGAACTCTGAAAGCTCGGATTGTTCAGTCATTTTTTCAGATATATTATCAAAGTATACCAAAACTTAAGGTATAATAATCGTAAGAAAAAAGTTCAAAATGAAATTAATTCCCCAAGATTATTAATTGATCTATACAAATGGGAGGCGAAAAAAAGCAGACACGCTGGCATTTTTATTACTGTCCATATATTCTTAGGACTGGAGAAGTATGTAATCGGAGATGCTATGATCCAAATGGATATAAAGTTCATCGGAATTCTAGGCAGGTTCCTTGCAAGGAATGCGGTGAGCCGACAAGAGGCAAATATGACTATTGCGATATACATGCAAAAAAACATAGATCAAGGGAACATTATCATCGAAAAAAGCTTGTAAAAATCCAGAATATATCCTAGCAAACTGTTCTAGAAATTCCGTCCTAGTGTCTTAGTTGTCAAAATTTTCTAGGACTGATGAAATATAGCTAGATGGTAATTTTAAGACGAATGAACGGAAAAGAAATAGTCTGTCTTAGTTGTCCTAGTTGTCCTAGTAAATTTCAGACTTCTTTACTTTTTTTTTTACCTATAGATATACTGGTATATAGCATACATATAGCATACATATATTATACATATACCATAGGATGGGTTACGATTTTTTTTTTTCTAGAATGTTAATTTTTACTAGGACAACTAGGACACTAGGACATAATATAAAAGAACAAGTTAAATCAAAGAAAGAAGCTTTTCTCCCATATCAGAATCTGTCCTAGGAAGTGTCCTGGTAAAAAAAATTACTAGACTACTAGGACAGATTTTTTATAGGACAAGATGCGATATATTTTATTATTAAAGATATATAAAAAATAATTATCCTAAAGTGTATACAATAATGGATTTTGAAAATTATTCTCTGAGACGGCAAAACACTAATTTACAATATGAACTCACGTTGACTCGCAAGATTTTAAATATGCAATTGGAGATCGATTCATTAAGAGAAGAAGTTAATAGGCTTAGAGACGAGAATAGTAGGCTTAAAAATGTAATTAGTTATCAGGAAAATGGAAAATAAAATAAGATAGTAAACTCTAGCGAAATGCCTTATTCTAATGCCAAACGATTCATAATAGACTATATTTCACTATGACCTGAGGATATTCTTTGCAAACAAATATGTTGCGCTACTTTATATCAGGATTATCTTACTTGGTGTGATAAAAATGAT